GCCAACCCTCAGGGGTCGGACAAGGCGGAGCCAACCTTCGGTCATTGGGCAAGAAGTGTAGTTGCGTTCTTGTCTGTTCGGAAGCATCAACGTTTGATGGTTATTAGCTCCTCCTCTTTGGGTATCCCAGTATTCGGTCCCCGACACAGCTCATCTGGTGGCTGAAGACCATGACATCACAGCATGGCCTGCCACTCCTCCCGCCATTTGCGCGCTGGGCTCCTGTGGCCGCCGCCGCAGATACGTCGTGCCCTTGATCCAACGACCTTCCGGCTAGCCCCACCATGGTCCAATTGGGCACACAACCTAGCCATGGGCTGACATAGAGTGGGGCACTGCAGTGGGAACCGGACCACATTACGGGCTCTGTTGTACTCGATCTGGGCCTGTGCGACAACCAAGCCCACGGAGTGTAGGATTCTCAGCCTCATGGGGACAGCCCAGCGTCGGCGACTCCGGCCGATGCCCAAGTCCGCATGTCGCCTGCTATTGTCGGTTCGTCCACAGTGCAGCCCATCACCGTCAAGGAGTTCATCGCCGGACTCAAGCTACCGCTTGAATAGCCTCTAATCCAGTCGCCGCCGCGCCTCCGTGTCTCACGCGTTCCGGTGGAGAACCTCGTCCCACGTCACAGTGACAGGCTTGCGGTGAAGTCTGTCTACCGCGACCCCAACCCGGAGAAGCAGGCCAAGCGGGTCCTCCTAAACAAGTGGCAGCCCCCGTCGCCAGTGACACCCGACGCCTCCATCGCCACTCGTTACCACGAGACGTTCCAAGACCCGCTGTCTTCATTCAAGCGCGCCGCAATGCGGGAACTCTTCCCCATGCATGGTGCTCGCAGGAGGCGGGCGGCGACGCAGGCGTCTTACCACGGGTTCCCTCAACGTTGCAAGCTCTTAGGTTGCACCTTTAGTTTCTTAGTTACAACAGCGTGTGCTCCACCGCCCAGCGCTTGTGTTCGTGTTCAACCCTTTCGCTCATGGCATCTCGCCGTGATATGATGTTGGGCGTGTAAACCTTCTAACTTTTTCTTAATGAAACATGTGCAACGCGCGTTCTCGAAAAAAAATAGTTATCCTAAGACATAGCGAACAGAATAGCATAATCCAAAGTACTGAAGTCTAAATTAACATGTTGATGGCATGGTTCAAACAATCTGCACCGCAGATGTTTCACATTTTCGGTGATTTATATATACAATTATATGTACTGTATACATATATTCGTTCTGTTCGCTTGAGTCTGTTTGGCTTATAAGCCATACTTTTTCAGCCAATGAACAATATTTTTCTCTTACACTAAATCAATCAATAGTGGCTTATCAGCCAAACAAACTCAAACGAACACGACGATCGCCACTCGGATACTGATAAACCATAGTTCCGACATGTCTGTCTGGTAAAATTGTCATGTAATTCAAAGCTCATTGAAGTGCTCTGCTTTCAACTGTAGCTGACTTTACTGCATAGGAATTCAATACCTGACTGTCCTTTACTTGGTTATTACTATGATATTTGAAGGCAAGCAGATGAGAGGTCTCGATGGCAAAATCATTCTCGGTGAATGCCATGTCGCCCATACCTAGCCCTCGTTGAGTTCCTCCGAACTCCTAAAAAATGCACTATACAAAAAGAAGATTTTCCGTCACATCAAACTTGCGGTATATACATAGAGTACTAAATATAGACGAAATCAAAAACCAATTGCACAGTTTGCTTTAACTTTGCGAGACGAATCTTTTGAACCTGATTAGTCAATGTTTGGACAATAATTCATAAATACAAACGAAATACTGCAGTAAGGAATCTTCACTATGCAAAGTTTGCGCCACTGTTCTAACCTTGACCTTGAGTGGGTCCGTTTGTGGGTCAGTCTTCTCTACTGTTGATAACTTAAACTTGGTCCTGACCGAAGTACAATAGGATCGTGCCACAACACTTTCATCAGTTTCGGCTGGATCCATCCAATCCTTCTCAGTTATTAATCCGGCGAGTTTTGTTCTTACTGTTGCAAACTGTTTGGATCTCAACAAGAGGATGAGGTGCGAAAATGATAATAACATCTAGACATTTAGATTTTAGAATGAGATTCTAGAATTCAACTATCTACCCCAAACCTACTATTCGCAAACCTACTATTCGCACACTGTCACTGTGCGAAGGTAATGATCACAAGAGAATGAGATCCAACACCTCCTCATTTTTTTTACCTAGAATCTAGATTCTAAACCACCATCTAGAATCACTGTGATAGAATGAGATCCAAACAGGGCCTAACAAAGCTTGAAACAGATTGATTGCATAATGCACTTTCGTCTCTACAGTATGTTATGCATCCTGAATCCTGATCCTCTCAATCATGCACCAGGTTCCTTGAGCTACTTTCCTTGAGCAAAATGTCACAGTCCAATAACTAGCGCAGAAAATCTCGGGAATCAGCTGGAGAGATGCAAATTAAACTCCAGCTGAAATAGGATGTTTTGCTGATGCTTTTCTGTTAGGCATGTTTTACTTTTGTTGTTGACGTTGCTCGTTCCCATGGGGTCATGTTGCTATGTTATTTTGTTCGGTAGGAGCTTCATTTTGATAAAATATGTAGCTCTCTTGTCTGATTTGTTTCCAAAACGACAATTTTTGCATTATTTGTTGGCGCTCTCGAATACAAGTTCTTCGTCTGGCTGGCAATTCAAAATCACCTATGGACGGTGGACCGGCTTCAGTCTCACGGATAACAAAAAAAAATCACCTAGGCCTTGTTTAGATGGCCTCAAAATTTTAAGTTTTTTCACTCTCTCTCTATCACATCAATTTTTGGACGTATGTATAGAGCATTAAATATAGGTAAAAAAAATAACTAATTACACAGTTTGGTTGTAAATCACGAGACGAATCTTTTGAGCCTAGTTAGTCTATGATCGGATAAAGTTTGTCAAATACAAACGAAACGTGCTACAGTGTCCAGATTGCAAAAATTTGCAATCTAAACCAGGCCCTAAGTGAGATCTTACAGATGAGCTGAGCACCTGTGTTGTCCTATTTTGTGCTCGGACCTCTGGTTTTCCTTGCAAAACCCTCCTTGTCTGCTAAGTTCTTTTATTTTTCTCTTAAACAACTTGTACTTTCTTTTGAACCGCACCCCCCTTCTATATTAATACAGGCCCTGAAGAGTCCCACCGGTGGTTTTGGAGAGAAAAAAAATTTGTTACTGTAGCTCATAGAGTGACTCATCAACATAGGTATACAGTAGAATCAGTACTACGAGTCAACCCTACAATGCTGTAGAGGTTCTTTGTCAGATTAAACCGGCCAGAGTAATTGAGTAATGTCATCTTTGATTGAATTGGTTTCCCTTGAAATAGAATTAGTGCTACATTTTCACTACTAGAGTTAGGTTAGGTGCTGTTTGGTTACCTCTCCTAAATTTTAGTCGTTGTTTCATCGAATGTTTAGACACATGTATGGAGTATTAAATATAGACTAATTACGAAACTAATTATATAGTTTGAGACTAATTTGCGAGATGAATCTTTTAAGCCTAATTAGTCCATGATTTGACAATGTTGTGCTACAGTAAATATGTGCTAATGACGAATTAATTAGGCTTAAAAAATTGTCTCGTGGAGTACTGGTGGATTATGTAATTTGTTTTTTTATTAGTATCCGAACACCCTATGTAACATCCTCCTGACACACCTCCCAAATTTTAATCACTGGATTCAAACACCGCCTTACTAAAAAGCTTGATAGGGAGGATGGAAATAAATACGCAGCGCTGTTCTAAATGCGTGTTGGTTAGATGTCATTTCACAAGTTGCACCTTTGAGCTATAAAAAGGTGAAGCATGGAAGCAGAGCGAACGGCATTGAAGGGTTTAGGCCGCAAAGGCATACTATAGCTCAGTAATGCATGGGTTTTTTTCTTTCAGAGGCTGCTTTTTTTTTAACATGGAGAAGAAAGGCTTTAGATTTACCTGAAATGTCTTCAATATTTAAGATCATAAGCAGCTGCGGCTCATCGATGCACAATTACTACTTTGCTGGATGGAGAGTAGAAGCCCTTTGATCAGCTGCTGCGGCCATAAATCTCACCATAAAGGGGGCATTCAAGGTGCTAAAACTATATGCAGCTGCTGCTGCCAACAGTATGGTGTAAAATTACTCACAGGTACGTACTACTGCCTGCCAGCAGCACTGCACTGCACGCTGGAGTCATAGAGGACCTCCCCCCAAAAAAAAGAAAGGAGAATCTCATCAAAGGAAGAGTAAATTCGAGCTTGTTGAAGATGATATTGCCTTGCTGCAATGCTGCCCTTGCTTTCATAGTTCACACTGTACTTCATAGTTCATACACCATGGATGGATGTCTCTGTTTTACATTTTACTGCAGCTGCAGGCAGGGCATGCTTGTTGGGACAGATAGAGTAGAGTAGAGCAGTTTGTGGTTCCATTCGAGCAGCTGAATACAAATACAACAACCTTAGTACTTATGAAGATCTTTTGTCTAGTAAAACATGATCTTGGAAAGTTTTTTTTTTTAAAAACATGATCTTGGAGGAGCCGAGGAGGCATGAATCTCGCAGGGGGGCTTTTGGCTTTGTGATCTTCCAGACTAGGATAGGATCACCGATCACAGAGAGAGAAAGAAAGGAGGAGATACACAGCTGCAGTAGGGAGGAGGAGGAAGAAGAGGACGTGGGGGCTTTGTTGTTTTGCATTAATGCCAAGTAAAGAGAAGCATTGACCTCTCCCCTACTTGAACCCAATGGCACCCCCTTCCTGCCCTATATAACTTGGCTCCTAGCCGCTCAACCAAACGCATCAAAGCTCATCTCCTTTCCTGTTCCCACCTCTCCTCTCTTGGCATCCATCCATTCTCCAAGCTTGCTTGAGGTAACAGCTGTTCTTTGTTCTTGCTCATGCTTTGATATATTATATAGGTTGTGTGGTAAGTTTGACAGTGTCTGTGATGATGAATTGATGTATAGGTGTTGAACGGTGAGCCATGAGCCGGGGCAGCGGCGGCAGCGGCGTGAGGAGCACTCGGCTGGAGCTGCAGCTGAACCTGTCCCCACCGGTGGGGATGGAGGTGGACGGGGGCGTGCACGACGACAGCGACTCGTCGTCGCCGAGCTCGTGCGTGTCGTCGGACGGGCGGAGCTCGAGCGGCGGCGGCAGCCCCGGGGGCAAGTCGCCGATGGTGATCGGCGCCTGCACGCGGTGCCTCATGTACTGCATGGTGGCCAAGAAGGACTACCCGACCTGCATCAACTGCAAGCAGCCGTGCCTGGTGGACCTCCTCCACGGCGAGGCCGGTGGCCGTGGTGGCGGCGGCGGCGCCAGCGAGGCCGCCGCCGACAAGAAGCAGCAGCAGCAGCGCGGCAAGCGCAAGTGAAGCCACGCGGCGGTGTACCTTGCATGTGCCCGCGCGCCCAGTGGATGCTCATACGGAGGGTCAGCTAGCTCGACTCGAACTGACTGCCGTTGGATCATCCACTGGACAGCCTGCAGGGTGTTGGATCCCTTCCTTTCTTCCTCATTAGGAGGAGCTAAGGCTAGTACGTGTAGTAGCAGCAGCTTAATTAGTTTACTTGACTTGATGCTGCAGCTGTTGGAGTAGGTTGTTGTTGTCATCGTGGGGATGGGGTTAAGTGTGGTGGAGACTTGTGGTTGTGGTGGTGTTTCCGGTTGTAATCCTCCATTCCAGTTCCAGCTGAAGAAACATTTGCATGCTAAGGGAATCAGCTCTTTAATTACCTCTCTGCAGATGCAAAAACGTACTCCCTGCATACTCTCCAAAGCATAACTTTGACTATTTATTTTATTTTTATAAAGATATTTATTAAAAAGTGATATATGTAAATTTTTATGAAAGTATTTTTCAAGACAAATCTATACATATGGTTTTTATATTTTCAAACTCAACGACTTAAAAGTTATTCATGATTTATATTTTCAATGTTTGATCTAAGTCTTTTCTAAAATGATTTTATTTTTTATTTTTTTTTTGTACGGAGAGAGTACTCTGTTTTATGAGCTAGCTGCTGGTGCTCTCTGTTCTCAGTGCATGCAACCTATGCGACTCTCTGTTCTCCACAGCTCAGCTAGCTGGGCCTTGGTTGTGGCACTACTGTTTGAATAAGTACAATAATGATTTTATAGCTAAGCTAGTCGGGCACAGTCGGACGGGAGCATATATATAATGATGGGCTAAGATAATGTACACAAAGATGGTTAAGCATGAGGTATGGTACTATATAATAATAAAAAAAGAAAAACTTTTTATAGGTGAATAGGAGATTAGTATTGTATAACAACTTAGCTCTTATAACTTAACTTAGAATATCTCCACCAAATTGAGAAAACTCGCTCACATTTCGCTATAACTAATGATAGAAGAATTTGGTAGAAAAAAAAGCTCCAACAATCCCCTTCTACATCTCCTTTTCCTAAAACTTTTGTCGATCCTTCAAAAACATCCCCTCGGTACTTCAAAGAAAGGAGAAGAACCAAACATTTTTCTCATCCACCTTTCTTCCCTCATGACCATCGCTGGATCTTCGCATGTACAGCTGGTGCTCGTTTTGCTAGCAAACAACCGTCGCGCCACACATCATCTTGTCGCACAGGCGAGAGGGCGAGGGCTAGCCATGCAGCCGCACCGGACACCACACAAGTGAGGTACTACCCGGAATCCTCAAATTTACCGAGTGTTTTTATGTTCGTCGAGTGTATTTCCTCAGGCACTCGACGAACAAGTTCTTTACCGAGTGCTGAGCTAAAAACACTCAACAAAGAAAAACACTCGACAAATAGGGGGTTTGCCAGTGTAAAAAAAACACTCAGCAAATAGGAGGTTTGCCGAGTGTTAAAAAAAACACTCGGCAAAAAAATAAAATCTTTTTTTCTAAAAAAGAAGGAGAAGAAAAAAAATGAATTTTTTTTTGCCGAGGGCTCAGATCTATAACACTCGGCAAAAAAAAAAGGAGAAGAAAAACAACTTTGCCGAGTGCCCTGATCTGGGACACTCGGCAAACAAAAAATATCTACTTAACCCATCCCTCCCCCAGCGCCGCCTCCCTCCCCTCCTCTCACCCCTTCTTCTCCCGGCTGCCCTCTTCCCCTCTCCTCCCGGCCCCCAGCGCCCCCTCTCTTCCCGCCGGCGCCGCCTCCCTCCCCTCCTCTCCTGGCTGCCCTCTTCCCCTCCGGCCGCCGCCCCTCCCCTCCTTTCCCGGCGGCGTGGCGGTGGGCCCTCCTTCCCCAGCTGCCCTCTTCCCCTCCAGCGCCCCCTCCCCGAATCTGGTGCCCCCTCCGATCCTTTCCCGGCGGCGTGGCGGCGGGCCCTCCTTCCCCGGCGGCGTGGCAGCACGGATCCGGCGCCCCCTCCTTCCCCGGCGGCGTGGCGGCGCAGATCCGGCGCGCCCCCCTTCCCTCCTTCCCCGGCAGCGTTGCGCCGCGGATCCGGCGCGCCCTCCTTCTCTCCTTCCCCGGCGGCATGGCGACGCGGATCCGGCGCGCCCCTCTTCCCTCCTTCCCCGGCGGTGTGGCGGCGCGGATCCGGCGTGCCCTCCTTCCCTGGCGGCATGGCGGCGCGGATCCGACGCGCCCTCCTTCCCCCGCGATTTGGCGGCGCGGCGGCGGGCGTGGTCTGCCGGCGGTGGCAGCGGCATGGGCGGTGGTGGTGGCCGGCGTTTTTTAAGGAGTTTTTTTTATTTTTTTCAAAAAATGTTTGCCGAGTGTTTTTTGGCACTCGGCGAAGTCTTTGCCGAGTGCCCAACGATTGACACTCGGTAAACAGCTCTTTGTCGTTAAAACCTACGCCGAGTGACGTTTGACGGGTGTTACACTCGGCAAACCGTTTGCCGAGTGTTTTTGGGACTTTGCCGAGGGCTGTTGGTTCCGGTAATGAGGGTGAGTGGTGGCCACGCCACCGCGCCAGGCACCACACGGGTGCTGGTGAGCGCCAGGCACCACACGGAGCCAACGTGGGCAAGGGCACGGGCCACACCACCACACTAGGCCTACGCGCGATGGCGTGGGCTGGCCGGCCGGTTGCGCCGCACAGTCGTGGGTGAGCGCAGAGCACTAAGCATCGGGCTTCGCAGAATCAACGGGTGAGAGAAAGCAAAAGAGAAGAGAAGGAGAGGAAAGAAAAGGAGTTGTATTGATCGACAGGTGGGTCCTACTTAATAATGGGTACGAGGTTTTCTAAATTTGCTGTAGAACCACTCCCCTATGACATGTAATTCTGTTTTCTCAATCCCTTATAGCTAATTTTATGTCCCGTTTGGTGCAGCTTCTGGGTGCTCCGACTCCGGCTCCAAAAAAAAATGTATTGCATTGTTGAACACTATACCGTTGCAATATATAAGCAACCTTGAGCATCATGCTGTGAAATAGGGATGCATCATGAAGCGTGCTAGGCGATTACCCTATTATTATTGACCTTGCATCATGAAGCGTGCAGGAGCATCGAAGAAAAACGCATGTTGACATCGTGGAGAGCGCGGTCTGAATCACTGAATGAATGAGGTGGCTTGCATTGTAGTACTCCATCTATCCCTGCTTCATGGACGTTAATTAATAAATATAAATACTACGTAGTAAATGTTTTGTGTAGCAGTAGTATGCGCAGGTATTTGAATACCCTGTAACGTGTGTTTTTTTAACTTATTTGTAGAGAGGAAGAGTTGATTGGCCACTGATACGAGAGGTGATGGCCGTGGGATGGGGAACCGGCGGCGCAGATGGAGGGCACGGGAGCGCGGATGCATGGTTGAAAGCAGCGGCAGCGTCTCTGGCAGGTGCAGTGCAGATCCTGGTGCCGTGCCCACTGCAACCCAGTGGTAAGTACGTACGCACGCTCTGAGACTGAAGCAAATAAGGAGAGCATCATTACTCAATGATTCAGTAGGAGAGGCCGCCGAGCGCGTGCAGGTTAAGCATTAAGGCGCATTAACTTTAATATTTACTGAGTAGAGAGAGAGAGAGAGAGAGAGAGAGAGAGAGTGAGTGAAGGTAGGGAGGAGGCTACAAATGAATGGAAGCTCATCAAGGCTAGCCAGGAGAGGGGGGAGCAGAGGTGGTCACTGACGACTGGGCCAGGATTCGCTTGCGTTGCTTGCAGGCGGAGACGTCCGGCCGTCTCGGCGGACAGGGGAGAGCTGAGCTAGGGTCCTCTGCTTTTCGATCTCTACCTGGTCGGGACTCGATCGGTCGAGACACCACACCTGGGACGGGCATCTTCTTCCGGTGGACCATCCGGCCTGATCAGGATGCAAAGCTCCATATCAGAGAGAGAGAGGGGGGTGGTTAAAGGTGCAAACATTAGGGACAAAAAGGTCGTCGATCCTGCTTCGATCGTGTATGCAGCACATAGCAGTTGGATGCTGCGAGTGTTGCCAGGATCAGGAGTCGAATGTTAAGATGTTAACAAGGGAATGTATGTAAGCATTGTTCATGATGGGATGGATGATGTTTGCCAAGTGCCAACTTGCACCGACCCAGCAACGCTCCGTCTCTTCTCTCTCTCTCTATACGGAGCCGAGGCCGCTAGCTGTCTATCCGCATCTTCTTCTTCGGTGAGCCAACGTCAGTCAGAGCTCTCACTACATATACTCATCACTTGAACCGATGGAGCTAGGCACAGCACAGCACATCATCAAATAAAGTCCCAATAGATATGCGGCAGCGGCAGTAATAACAAAATGGATCGGAGCCGCATGAATGCATGCAGTTGGGAGATGAGAGACGAGGCGGAGTAGTCGTGAGTAATGGCGTGCGGAGCGACGCAATGCGACGATGCACGCGGGTGCAGCCCAGCCCAGGCCGACGATGGTTGCGTGCTGCGCTGCGTCACAGGAATTTAGTGGCACGGCAGGGCAAGCGGCAGCTAGCTTAGGGGCCGTACCCGTACGTCCTAGCTAGTTAGTGCTCCTCCTCCTCTTCTCCCCGCGCTACTAGCAACAATGGATTCATTTCGGCATGCAGCGGATCGCGCTCGCTCGTCGACGATCTCTCTCTCTCTCTCTCTCTCTCTGCGTTGGGCATGCATCTGCCCCTGATCCTGATGGATGCCTGCACGCCGCAGCTCGCAACATCAAAGCCGGCCGGCCGCAGCGCGCCATAATGCTTGCTAGCTAGCTAGCTCGTCTCCTCTGCGTGTATCCTCTCTCTGCCTGCGCGCGCGGTTTAAAAGCCACCAGCTGAGTTATGTTCTTGTCCCTAGATCGACTCCAGGTCAGTCTCGCTCAGCAGCTGAGATGGATGGATGGATCATGCATGGCTCCCTCTTCTGACCAACACACCCACATTTCCCTACTCCCATGAACCATACGTACCCATGAGCCCATGACCACACACACTTTTAGCTAGTAGCATGCACGGCAGACGGCA